GTTTGAGAAATTTTTGGATGGTACGACTGTTAATTCCAGTTAGATTCTCAATTTTATAGCTTGACAGACCTTCATTTGACATCTGAATGATTATTTCTTTAAGATCACTCGTCAATTCTTGACCATGGGGAGCCATATCTCCAAGCAGACGATAATTGTTTATCAAAGGGGAATAATCCAAATTTACAACAATGGACAGATTTAGTTAAGTCGTACCTAAATTTCAACTAAATATTTTTTCCTTTAAGAGAAGCGATAACGTTAATTCAGCAACTGGTTCACCCCCCTTCTTAAATACTTACGATGACAGCGGCCATTTTGCAAACTTATTTATGTCACACTACTGTACATGCATTTTTCTGGTACAATAAATCTCAAGTAACAATAGACAATAAGAAATGTGATTCGTATCAAAGATATGGAACAGTAAAAGAACGCCGACTAACAATTTTTACATATTTGTAAAGAAGACAAAAAAAAAACCAAACAAAAAACCGAGGATTACCATTCTCTGTACATTTCGACCTGACACATCCGCCGTGTATTCCTTGTCATGATTGGGAAAACGGAAAAGTCTGTAGACAATTCATGAAAATTGGTTGAACAATTAATACAAGGGTCGTTCAATAAGTAATGCAATATACTGTTTATCATAGCAGTATTCAATTTTATTTTTTCCAGGTTGGAATTTTTATTTAAGAGCTCATAACCCCATGTTTTTTTCTCTTGTCCTCGCAAAGAAAATAGCTTTTAATGTACGCATGTTAACTGCACTATGCTGAAAATTGTTTATAAATTATCTATGCCAAGATGATTCAATAATTCAATAGGATGGAAATATAATAGATGGAGATAACGAACAGGATTCAGCTCAAACCTTCATTAAACAATACAAAATTGGAGCGTAGCAAACATGAACCTCCAAAAACTCTGAAGTGGGGTTATGTGTCATGTTGGGGTGAACATCCTATCCCGACTGGTCTCACCCGTCATCTGTTCCTGGTCATGATCGGGAAATTACGGGGAAAAAACCGTCGACAATTCAGTGTGTAAATAATGACCTAACAATCGAAAAAAAAGCGCCAGTCAACATTTGACTCGAAGATATATTGTATTTGCTGACAAGGTCATTGTATTGATCACAGAACTTACGAAATGATGACTTTTAACATGCCTGTTGATATTCTTGTTTCAACTTCTTGTTCGTCAATAATTTAAGAAATTGTTCAAACGTAGATCATCCTCTCGCATATCGAATCATCTGAATGATATAAAACCCGTATGCAGTTGGTGAAGGTTATTATATTGCTGCATAAGTAAGGGAAGTTGATGATTGAAAAATCAAAGTCATCACGTTTATCATAAAGCTTTGTTGTTAGATAACAATTAATGTCTTTTTCTAATTAAATTTCTAAATATGAAACAGAAGTGTCTGACTATGTTGTATCATTTATTACAAGATAACCAGAATATATCGTATCGACATAGGAATTGAAACCATTAATAACTTATAATACGTCTTCGATATATCTAAATGCTTATGTGATGGCCACAGCAAGTGTTTTCTTTTCACGTATAAGAATTTGGACATGTTCTACTTCATATGAATACAAAAATAGGAATGCAAATAACGTGGCGCAATTGATACCCATAGAAATTCAAAAAAGATTGATAGAAGACCTGGCCTCCAAAAACAATATAGTAGAGTTAAATAAAAGTTAAATCAGTTGATTGATATTTGTGGGTACACAAAATATTGATGTTGTGTGTCACTTGATAGAAAATAATAGATTTACATCGAAAGTAATTTTTGAGATACAAAACATTTCATCATCACAGCATTTTATAGATCTCTGACAAATGAAAAACATAATTATAATATTTCTATCAGACCGATTTATTTCAGTTTATGAAACTGTAGGAAACTCAAATATGTTGTGTTATAAAAAAAAAATAATAAGGACATTCATTCAAATTTTGTACTTTTTCAAATACGCTGTCATGTTTTATTCCTGCCTCTAATTTAGATATTTCAAAGAAATTGTTTCCATATAGGATATATTGTTATTTATAACCTTGGTAACAGTTGTTCATAATGCATATTATATAAAAAATAGATAAAAACTTCCTTTTTCAAGAGCAATTATAATATTTTTTAGACAGCTAGACTGTGGCCATTTGTTTTGAAATAAATAGTTCATATTATATGCTTTGTTTGTATTTTCCATGATAGCTAGACAAATTAATATCGTTAATTGAGTATAAATACCTCTTAAAATTCACTTCAATAATGAAACATTCAAAATAAAAATTACATACAAAAAGGGACTTTTAAAAAATATTTCAAAGATATATGTGTTAGACTTTGCTTATATATATGAAGCTGTAAAGTTGAATTTTTGTGTTTATTTGCCAAGGCTCGGGAACTAAAAAAAAAAACAACAAGTTGGATAATAATTATATCCAAGCACAGAACATGGAAGATCTTATATTAAGTTCTTCAGTATATCGTTTTTTTTTTTGGTTGTTGTTGTTTTTTTTTTCTTTTTTTTTTGTTATTGCTTAACGTGCTTCTTGAGAATTTTTGCACTCAGGCCATCCTTAAAAAATTGTTTGTTTGGAATTGCCGCCTGAAGGGTATCAGACACAGGAGGGAGGGAGGGAAATAATTTTTTTTTTTTTTTTGAAGATGATTTTTTTATTTTTGATAAAAAATCTCAGTAAACAGTGAGTACATTTTCTGACTTTTCAAAAAAAAAATCTACCAACAACAGAAAAACCCAATTTTATGAAGATCTGACACTATATTTCAGTGTTTTGTATGGTGCATGTGATACATGCTAAAAAATGATTAAATAAAAAAAATCGTCCTACTTTTGGTCAATAAATTTTTTTCAGGAGGTGGCATTTCAATGAGGCGGGAGGCAATTCCAAACAAACTATAATTTTATTTTGGCCTCATAGGAAGATGTCACCTCTTACTGGTGGAGAGCTGCATTTGACCTTCACTAAGGACCATTTAGCATTGAAGTATCTTTTCGTGCCAGCACCTATTGCAACAAGTGGCCTTAGTTACTTATACGATTTCATCTGAATGACTGAGGTCTATCATACAGCATAAACAGTCGATGTTTCCTTACAGTTTGAAACAATATAAAAACTATTAAATTAGCCTAAACGTAGATAAGTTTAAATTATTTTATGGCCCCGTAAACGGAGTTTCTTGGGTATATAGTTTTTGTCTTGTCCGATCGTCTCTCTGTCTGCCTAGCTTCTCTCTGTTTGTCTGTTTGTCCGCAAAAACTTTAACCTTGCCCATTACATTTGATTTGGTGAAGCTACATGTATGACTTTCATATTTGACATGTGTTTGACTTGTGACAAGTCCTTTCTTTGGGTTCCACAAAATTTGACCATTTGACCTTGACGATTGAGTCACTTTTATACAAAAATTTCAAAGTTTTACTTTGGCCATATTTTTGAAAAGTAGATACCAGGACATTTATACTTCACATACATATTCTTTGTGGCAAGACCTTTCATTGGATACCACCAACCTTGACCTTTTGACCTTGACGATTTCCGTACTAATGAAAAAATTTAACCTTGGCAAAAACTTTTGAACGGAAAGGGTTAGACCTTTCATATTTCACATATGTAATTTTTGTAAGAAGACCCTTCATTGGATACCAAGAACTTTGAGCCTTTGACCTTGATGTTGGAGTCTGATCTACTTTAAAAAAAAAACAAATCTTGGCCATATCTTTTAAAGGGTTAGAACTTGTGCTTTCATACTTTATTTATCTAATCCTTGGGGCAAGACCTTTCATTTGATATCAAAACCTTTGACCCTGATCTCAGAGTTTGACCTACTTTACAAATTTTTAACTTTGGCCATAACTTTTGAACTGTTAGGTCTAGAGCTTCCTTACTTTACATATGAATTCTTTGTGGTAAGACCATTTATTGGATACTTATAATCTTGACCTTTTGACCTTGGCCTCAGAGATTTTTTGGACTTATGAAATAACATTAACTTTGGCAATAACATTTGAACAGTAAGGGCTAGGGCTTTCATACTTCACACATGTTATCCTTGTGACATTCAATACCAATAACCATGAACTTCTGACCTTAATCTTGGAGTTTGACCTACTTTAAAATCTTTTTAACCTTGGCATAACTTGAATGTTCACGGCTAAGGCTTTCATAATTTACAAATGTATTTTTTTGTGGAAAGACCTTTCATTGGATACCAAGAACTTTGACCTTCTGACCTTGATCTTGAAGATTTCTGTACTTATGATAAAAAAATTAACCTGGTCTTAACTTGGAAACAGATGGTAATAGGGCTTTCATGTTTCACAATTGTATTTCCAGTTAGGAGACCCTACTTTGGGTACAAATATAATAAATTTGCATTTAAGACCAGTTTAATCTTCACTATGTTGCCATACGTGGGCATCAGTGTTTTACAAAAACATCTTGTTTTCAGACACTAATACATCGAATACCATTTATATGTAGCAGTGAGCTGGTGGTTATAACTATTTTCTTAATGTTATTTCACTCTTTATCTCGAATTCTTAAATAAAGAAATCTTGCAGTTTAATGTTAGTTTCGTCAAGTTTTGATGACAAGAGGTCTGCACAAAAATGAAGACCAGTATATTTATGTCAAAAATTAATAAAATGTGTCTTAAATACCTCATATATTATATTACAACTCTCTTGTGAAAGTATATGTAGTGAGAATCGTGACTATAAATGGATAATCAAAATACATTTAAGAACATTTTAACACTAATTTTACTGATCAGAAAAATTTTGAAAGAAACACCATTCTATGCTGACAACATACAAGTCTTACTAAATTTGATCTCTTTCAAAATAGAAACAAATTATATTTTTTAAAACATTAAAGATATTTTCAGATCTTAAATGTATACATGCATTTCATTTACTTTATAACTTGGTTTGATAAGGTACTACTGGTAGTGTTGCAAAAGAAACTAAATTCAACCTATTGATTTTTCAAAATCTTTTGTTTCTTGCACATTAAGGTTGATCTGTCCTGTTTGTTAGGATCACACTATAGTCCTCTTGTTGCATTTCCTGTGCTGAAGCAGCACATGCGTAAATACTCCATCTTGTTACCCTGGACCTGTCAAGTAAAGGGCAATCTTTATAACACAATGACAAAGAAATTTATCTATAAAGGTAAAAACAATGCTAAGTCTTTGTCATAAGAGGGAATATGGTTTGGTAATACTAGTTATAACATCCTTGATTATCATATCTTTTTAGCGCTATAAATAACCTACTTTAAACATGGATAAAAGAAAAAAAAGGAAATTACGATTATTCGATATTAACTTTTTTGCGAAATAAACAGTTGTACCAAAAATAGCAAGGAAGCAGATGACTATTCCTACCACTGATTTCACCAACATTATTATAAACACCGAGGAAAAGAAAGATAGGTTGGGAGTTTTCTCTTCATCATGACTGACAACCAAATCTGTGATAAAAATTAAGTGTCAGGGCTCAAAAATATTATTATTAGAAAACAACTAATTATGTTTTGTTTTATGAACATAATTATGCTATAACACAATATAAGATTCTCTTGTTTTTTCATACATGTAATTGACTGATAATTTGAACAATCTTTACCTTTTCATGTTCAGGAAAAAATACAAGGCTTTTCTCTTTCAAAGTTAGAAGTAAAATTAAACGATAACATATATATAGTGCATGAGATTTTAAGTAGATATGATTCGATTTCAAAAGTTTGCCTTCTGCATAAAAAATTACAGAAAACTATGTTCCTTGGTACATACTAGACTTATACTCATCGTTTTTAGATTCACCATAAATAAATTTGCAGTACTTTCCCTACATTACATTCTTATGAAAATGCACAGTGAATGTTCATGACAGTATAGATAAATGAACAAGAGGCCCACGGGCCTTATAGGTCACCTGAGTATTGTGTAACAACTTTTAAACAATTAAATTTGGTTCGTGTTTAAACCGGAGGCCATGAAATTCACAATTTACAATTTTGAAAGAGGCACCATTGCTTATCATAATTATTAACTTAGCTTGCTTACTCTGTTTATTTAATACCCAGAGGTAGATCAGAGTAACAAAGAGAAAATGCACTTCCACTTTATAACCAGTTGTGCACCTCACCCCAAAGGAACCACTGACCCAGGGGCTACATATTTCAAAATTTTGCAAATTTTATCAGGAAATGGTTGATAAGTACCAAAGAGCAGATTTCAAAGCATTAATTTATTTTCAGACTATGTAACCACCCCCTCCCTTTGACCCTGGGGGCATAAAAAACCACTTTGCTAGATACATCTTTTTTCATCATAAATATATATACTTGGATTTTTGGCATAAAACTCAGAAGCAAAGAAAAATATTTTCAAAGAATTAATGTATTTTTACTATATAATCAATAGAGCCCCGCTCTAAAACCAGAACCCCTGACCCTGGGGCCATAAAATTCACAATTTTGGAAGAGGCACTCTTGCTCAACATAACTATGTGCTTAGTTAGTTTATTTAATACCCAGGAGCAGAGAAAAAGATTTTCAAAGAAATAATGCATTTTCACTATATAATCTATAGAGCCCCGCCCTAACACCAGAACCCCTGACCCTGGGGCCATAAAATTCACAATTTTGGAAGAGGCACTCTTGCTCATCATAACTATGTGCTTAGTTAGTTTATTTAATACCCAGGAGCAGAGAATAAGATTTTCAAAGAAATAATGCATTTTCACTATATATTCTATAGAGCCCCGCCCTAGCACTAGAACCCCTGACCCTGGGGCCATGAATTTCACAATTTTGGTAGAGGACTCAATGCTCATTACATTCAGTTTGCCTGCTTGATTTCCAGGAGTAAAGAAGAAGATTTTTAAAGATTTCATTAATTTTAGTGGTTTTGGCCCCATCCCTCATTCCCCAGGGGGGCAGGGACCATGAAATTCACAATTTTTGTTTCCCTTCACCCATAGATGCTGTATACCAAATTTGGTTGAAATTGGTTCAGTGGTTTCAGAGAAGAAGCTGAAAATGTTCAAATGTTAACACACGACACACGACGGACGACGACGGACGAAAACGGATAGCAATAGGTCACCTGAGTTACTCAGGTGACCTGAAAAGCATACTTCTCTCACTAGTTGTTTCCACACAGCCATATTGCTTATCACAGATGTCTGTACATGTACAATTTTCCTCATAAAAACGACCATAAAAGCCTTTTGGACACTCCTCAGAGCAGTTTACTCCATAGGAACCCGGGGGACATACTTTAAAAGCATTTTTAAGCATGAGTTGATGTAGAAATATGTTTTTTTAGGAAACGTTGTAATAAAACAAGGTTACTTTTACAAAATTTCCCTTTTGATATAGAATTAAAGCGTATACCTTCGCAAACACCATTTACTTCAAAGTAGCTAATGCAACATGGTGGGTTTCTACAAACAAAATATTCAATTATTTTGAAACAATAATTTTTAAGCCTCTAACAAGCATATTCAAGAAATCTGCAGCTGTAATCAACTGATAATATTCTTTAATATTTAAAACTTATCAATTTTACCACTTATGACATTTTGTTAACTTTCCTTGCATACATTTATGGTTTGTCTATTATTTTTCTACTTGACAATAAAAATAATAAATAAATATAATCCTTTTACAGCTTGGAGCAATATCCCAGTGTCCTTGATGTATTGATATTCTGACAATATTACTGGACAATAAATCCAGAGCAATTAAGAATTTAGCACAACAAGCAACATACTTGTACGACTCCATTTGTAAATTGGTTTATCATGAGGAAAATATTCCCTACTCATTGTCTTTTCAAGGATGCATTTTATTGTATTATAATACTGGAAACCATCGGAGATAGATATGCATGAATTAAAACATTATTTCTTTTATTTCCTTGAATAGACCAGGCTCATATTAAAGAGTTTCCGAAACAAAAATGCAAAACATTTAATAAATATATAACAGAATATGACATCTTATTTGACACTTATAAGTATAAAGAATACCGAAAGGTCATGTTAAAAAAAAGATAACTTAAATTTAAATAGCTCACTTTTATCCTAATATTAATATCTTATTTATGCCATTCATATAAAAAAAATATTTAATTATATATTGATTTTATTTCTACACATACTGTCATTGACATAATTAAGACAACATTACAGTAATATGTCAATATTGATATGTCATTACAGTAATATGTCAAACTGGTACCCAACAATATCCTACATTGTGGGATACCAGCACCACAATGTAGTTGCTGGTATCCCACTATTTTTTTTTACCAGGTGACAATTTACAGATATGCAGATAGAAAAATCATACAAAACATTGTATAAATGAAAAATATGGAGATAACGAAAATTATATATTCAAGCTCAATGATCTATTCAAACAATACCAATGGAAACACGAACCTCAAAAACATTACAGATGGACCAAGTGCCATGGGAAAGTGATCACCCCCTTCTCATCATTCAATTACATTTATTAAATTTATTATTATCAGTAAAGCTAGGAATCAGTATTCTATATTAATAACATTTGACTTCACAATATAATTAAACAAAATTTTTATCATAGAACACGGTCTACTTAATATATTGCCGAACTGTTGATTGTAACTATATATTCTTGTTATTGGCTTTGTATTCTAGAATGTTTTGGCACTTTATAGGTCAAGGGCACAAAGTTGGAGCTTATATTCTTGTCCTCTTCCGGCAAATACTATATCTTTGGAAACACATCAAGAGGAGTATTATACCTTATTAACAGACAGAGTTCAGCTTCCTTGCTGCGAAATGAATGAAAGATAATTAAAAAACATCAACATTTTACTCAACAATGACAATAATCACTTTCCAGCAAAAGGAAATACATGTATTATAACTGGAATTTAGGACAGATGAATGGATGCCAGTGGTCCGTTTAACAAAACACTCTTATGACTAAGATCTGCCTTAAGGTCAAGATCTGGTAAATAACTTTAGACTAATTTTTTAGTGCTAGATCCATTATGACGTCATAATCAATTTCAACTTTATTTTTCCCGTACTTTACGGCTTTAGCAGAATTATGTAGAAAATAGGGTATTTTCATGACATTCAATTTGAAATCATATGAAAAGTAAACCGGATACCTATATTAAATTTGATATTGGTGTAAAGAAGAGGCCATGAACATACTAATTACCGTTTTCTGTGAGACTGTAGGCAATCTGGATGCATTTCTTTTGTCGAATATGAAAAAAACTCCCATATTCATGACTGGTTTCCTTAATTTTTCATTGAAAATGACAGTTTAAAAAACAGTTTTTCATCTTGTTTATCTACAAATTATGCCCCGAAACACCTTATTTGACCAAGCTAAAGTTGTAAAGCATCAATAAAGGAATTTATTTCTCAAATTTGATAAATCTGTAGGCACTTTTCATTTACTAGATCTTGACATTAAGACCGAAAATTATCTTAAGATTCACCAAAGTCGTTTAAAAAAACTGTCATTTTTTTCTATAAACCCAAGGATATTTAAAGAAAAAAAAACAGTTTTAAAGATAGAACAATCCTTTGGACTATATCAGGGCAGTCAAATTAATGACACCCCCCATAATTTCTCAATAAATGTACAATAGAAAGCACCTACTATTTTTGAGCAAAAAGACACTTTTGCAAATTTCATTTAATAATTATTTTGTGATAATTAATTAAAATTTAGTTTTTATGAATCCCAACACACCCTCACACACACACATGTACAAAAAAATTCAGTAAAGTTGATGCAATAAAATGTTTTCTTCCGAGGGTATACCTGCTAAAGAGACTATATGAGACACACTATTATTTAAATATTTTAAAGAAAATTAAGAAAGAGAACTAAACATCGTGCAAACATATTTCAAAAATTCCTTGTGATATTGAAGACTGTAATTTGTTTTAAGACATGTCTTAAGATCTATTATACTTACGATAGTTTTTTGAAACAGCAGTTACAAATCTTATGATTGTCATAAAATCATATCTTAAGATGATAGCAAATCATATTGATCGTCATAGGACAAATCTTACGATAGTTTTGTGAAACCCAGTCCCTGGATTAGAATATATTTTTTTACTTATTTTAATTGTAAATTATGCGATGCGAATAATAAATATACAAAATATTAGGGTTGTCCCTGAAAAATGTTCTTTTTCCCCTTTTTGTTATTTTTACAAAATAATATATGCCTGTGGTGTATTATGC